TTCGTACACAGCTGTTACATTGGGTCGGTTTGACATTCATGCATGGGTCATCGTGCAATATATCTAATTGGACAGCACAGTAAACATTCTATTCTGTAAACAATTTGTATAATAATAAACCGGACAGAAATGTCTTCTCCGGATGAAAAAATCTTGTAAAACATGACTTGAAAATGGCGATTCTATTGCGGTTTATATGCGACATGGTCACTTCTGATGATGGTAATTTGGTAACCGTTAGGGTTGGAACCTAGTTAGGTGGTTTATTAGTCTAACATTCTACCCAATGAGACAGAGAGACAATTCTCATTAGCAGGTTTGGTATGGAGATTCCAGGGGCTAATCCCACTTCCGTTCTCTGCGACGAACCAGAGACGTGAAGATTTGGTAGAAAGTAGCTAGTAGTGTGACCCTTTAACATGATTAATTTAAGGATAATAGAGGTCGCAAAATACATAAAAAAGGGTCAAAGAATGACCTGTGATTTAGGGGTCATAATAATGAGTTTGAGGTCGGATTAGTAAAAAAGGACAAAATGTTTAACGTGAGGTTGATTGTTAAAAGCAACGGAAGGGGAGATCATTTTATAGTTTTAATTTTAATCTTATAATTTTCGCTGAAATGAATTTTAAATCTGAATATGTTTAGATAATTTTTTATTTAAACTTTATCAAGATACAGATACATTTGATATTGTTTTATATCGTGTGACGTGGAATTCTGTAGTTGAACGTTTCACTTGTGTATTATATAATTAATTAATTAAGATGTTTTGTTCTCAGAACTTGATTAAATACTTTTTTTAACGAGATGTTGCAACACTATTCATTTTCGAAAAAGCATCCGTACGGTATATCTGTGCACTAATCCATACTAATGACGGACCGTTAACCAACCAAACAGTTGATTGGTTGGCGACAGGTCATTGGCCATTCCATGGTACCGAGGTGCGTCATGTTATGGTTGGCATTTCACATGCTATATAGATATTTTCCCGGAGATAAAAGTATACAAAATAAGTGAAAAGCTTGGTGTATACCATAAAACCCGCGTTATCGGTGGAGCCGGGATGCTCTAGTTAATTCTAACTAATTAGTTTGATTGCTAATTTGTGTACAGCTTGGTACCGGAGTGTTTATTTACACGAAAGTCCGACAGCCCCAAGTTGTAATGCCCTCTGTATACGGGACAGACCTAGGTACGAGTAGTAATACCCTCTGCATACGGGACAGACCTAGGTAAGAGTAGTAATGCCCTCTGTATATGGGACAGACCTAGGAACGGGTAGTAATACCCTCTGTATACGGGACAGACCTAGGTACGGGTAGTAATGCCCTCTGTATAGGGGACAGACCTAGGTACGAGTAGTAATACCCTCTGTATACGGGACAGACCTAGGTACGAGTAGTAATACCCTCTGTATACGGGACAGACCTAGGTACGAGTAGTAATACCCTCTGTATAGGGGACAGACCTAGGTACGAGTATTAATGCCCTCTGTATACGGGACAGACCTAGGTATGAGTAGTAATGCCCTCTGTATACGGGACAGACCTAGGAACGAGTAGTAATACCCTCTGTATACGGGACATACCTAGGTACGAGTAGTAATACCCTTTGTATACGGGACAGACCTAGGTACGAGTAGTAATACCCTCTGTATACGGGACAGACCTAGGTACGAGTAGTAATACCCTTTGTATACGGGACAGACCTAGGTACGAGTAGTAATACCCTCTGTATACGGGACAGACCTAGGTACGAGTAGTAATACCCTCTGTATACGGGACAGACCTAGGTACGAGTAGTAATACCCTCTGTATACGGGACAGACCTAGGTACGAGTAGTAATACCCTCTGTATACGGGACAGACCTAGGTACGAGTAGTAATACCCTCTGTATACGGGACAGACCTAGGTACGAGTAGTAATACCCTCTGTATACGGGACAGACCTAGGTACGAGTAGTAATACCCTCTGTATACGGGACAGACCTAGGTACGAGTAGTAATACCCTCTGTATACGGGACAGACCTAGGTACGAGTAGTAATACCCTCTGTATACGGGACAGACCTAGGTACGAGTAGTAATACCCTCTGTATACGGGACAGACCTAGGTACGAGTAGTAATACCCTCTGTATACGGGACAGACCTAGGTACGAGTAGTAATACCCTCTGTATACGGGACAGACCTAGGTACGAGTAGTAATACCCTCTGTATACGGGACAGACCTAGGTACGAGTAGTAATACCCTCTGTATACGGGACAGACCTAGGTACGAGTAGTAATACCCTCTGTATACGGGACAGACCTAGGTACGAGTAGTAATACCCTCTGTATACGGGACAGACCTAGGTACGAGTAGTAATACCCTCTGTATACGGGACAGACCTAGGTACGAGTAGTAATACCCTCTGTATACGGGACAGACCTAGGTACGAGTAGTAATACCCTCTGTATACGGGACAGACCTAGGTACGAGTAGTAATACCCTCTGTATACGGGACAGACCTAGGTACGAGTAGTAATACCCTCTGTATACGGGACAGACCTAGGTACGAGTAGTAATACCCTCTGTATACGGGACAGACCTAGGTACGAGTAGTAATACCCTCTGTATACGGGACAGACCTAGGTACGAGTAGTAATACCCTCTGTATACGGGACAGACCTAGGTACGAGTAGTAATACCCTCTGTATACGGGACAGACCTAGGTACGAGTAGTAATACCCTCTGTATACGGGACAGACCTAGGTACGAGTAGTAATACCCTCTGTATACGGGACAGACCTAGGTACGAGTAGTAATACCCTCTGTATACGGGACAGACCTAGGTACGAGTAGTAATACCCTCTGTATACGGGACAGACCTAGGTACGAGTAGTAATACCCTCTGTATACGGGACAGACCTAGGTACGAGTAGTAATACCCTCTGTATACGGGACAGACCTAGGTACGAGTAGTAATACCCTCTGTATACGGGACAGACCTAGGTACGAGTAGTAATACCCTCTGTATACGGGACAGACCTAGGTACGAGTAGTAATACCCTCTGTATACGGGACAGACCTAGGTACGAGTAGTAATACCCTCTGTATACGGGACAGACCTAGGTACGAGTAGTAATACCCTCTGTATACGGGACAGACCTAGGTACGAGTAGTAATACCCTCTGTATACGGGACAGACCTAGGTACGAGTAGTAATACCCTCTGTATACGGGACAGACCTAGGTACGAGTAGTAATACCCTCTGTATACGGGACAGACCTAGGTACGAGTAGTAATACCCTCTGTATACGGGACAGACCTAGGTACGAGTAGTAATACCCTCTGTATACGGGACAGACCTAGGTACGAGTAGTAATACCCTCTGTATACGGGACAGACCTAGGTACGAGTAGTAATACCCTCTGTATACGGGACAGACCTAGGTACTAGTAGTTATACCCTCTGTATACGGGACAGACCTAGGTACGAGTAGTAATACCCTTTGTATACGCGACAGACCTAGGTCCTCGTCATCAGTAAAAATCGTTAAACGAAATAACTTAGCTAGATTTGTTTTTCTTAAAATCTGAGATAATAATGAAAATATACATCGATTTCAAAGATTTTTAACTTATTATCTAAACACCGAATTTTCATGCCAAAAAATCAAAATACAAGTTTAGATTCAAGTGGAAATGAAACAATAGAGATAAAAAAAATCTTCTTTTCGAAACGCCACTTTCTTTGCACGTTTTTATTGTATAAATGTTATTTTAACTTTCCGTAGCAAATCCAGATTTATAATATCCTTTTCTGGAGACAACTCGACCAGCGTAATTAATTGATATCAGAATCGTAAAACCGCGGTTACATGTTTTGTTCTCAGTCTCAAAAACTGAGAAACAGATATAAATTGTAAACATTATAACATGTCGTTTGTTGAACCCTGTTCCCTAATTTTGTCTGCTGTCTGATTTAATTACACTCTATCAATTACTACCTTATTAGTGTGTCATAAGAATAGTGTTACTATAAAAAAGGCGATAGAATATGGTTACAAATATGAATAGTTTACCGGATAATTTCTACTTTTTACACGCTTTAGAGTTATTTTATAAATTATATAGGGCGCTATATAAATGTTGTATTTTATTTTTTATTATTAAACAGCAGCCTGAAGTTGACGCTGTTGTGTTCATCTGAGAGGGTGTTTACAAAGAAAGACAACTCTCGTACGGCTTTTAGAAAATTGAATGCATTGTACGAAGAAGGACAACTCTCGTTGCGGAATGGGACAAACCAACTCAAACGTTCAAAAAGTCAAATGTAAACATTCAAAAAAGTATTCGTCTTTAAGTTTCTTTAAATATTTTCCAAATATTGACTTTTTTTGATGTATTTAGAACTGGAACAAGAAATAAGGTTCGAGCACAAAATCCATGCTTGAGCATGAGAACGGTTTTAGGAATACGGGTCCTGATCAGGTTATTCTAACACTAACGGTCCCGGTGACACCACGGAAAAGGGGACACTATGGGAAAGACAGATATGATGAGAAATAAAACATTGTTTCAATGTCAACTTGAGTGGTTCAATGGTTAAGGAGACCAAGTTGATTTTTCTTATTTTCGATGTAACTAACTAATATGATAATACAGACATTTTTAGAAATGTACAAAACTTTCTTAAATCCAGTCAAGAGATTTTGAGCACAAATTGTAATAACAATTGTATATATTTATTGTCATGGTTGTAATGTCATTCATAATGTATATTGGGAGAAGGCGTTGATAAGTTGTTATAACTTGTGCCTAATCCCTTGTCTACTTTTGGCAATAAATATGATTAAACTAAACTAAGAAGAAAACATTCTACGTAAGTCTTATAAGTCATCTTAGACGATCAAGTTTGGGATACAGCAGACCAATTTATTCACAATAACCTAGGTTTATTAGTACTAAAAGCGGAAACAATCATAAAAATACAAAAGAAAATGATAAAATTTACTCGAGAAAAAATATACACCGATAAAAACACGTATATTGTTAAAAATAGTAGGTTATTGATGGACATTACTGAAAATACTGATAATAGCCATAATATGTCTATTTATCTTTGTCATACAGTCAACATGATTTTTCCTTAAAATAGATTTGTTATCATGATCGTCAAAACCGTGTACATTATAATGAAAAAATAATCACCAATTTTCACCCATTAAAATATCGTATTTGAGAAATGATTCCGGTAGGTTCTAGTGATATTCACAGTGTTAGCGACATGTTGGGAATGAGGAGGACGTGACACGTCATATCCTCCCTTACTTCCGGTATTTTTTCTCGCCATGTTTTCAGTTTCTTGGCTCGTTTGTTGAAGTCGAACTCCATGATGACGTCACTAAAACATTCACTGGTACCTTGCGTTGCGCCAACAATCAAAATCTTCGACCTGACTCTGACAAGGCGGGCATTACTACAGTCAAGCGCTAGCGTTCCGGCTTTTACGAAAGCCCGACAGCCGGGCCAATGCTTGACCAGGTTCCGACCTGCCACCTGGTGGATCTCTGTGTTAAGACTGACCACGGGACCAAGCACTGCCGTGTGGCACACGATCGTGCACGTGCGAGTATTTACATCGATACACTGTATCGCGTGAGTCACGTGACGCTCGTGAGACATTCCCTGTGTGAACCCGCTGAATATAAAGATTTTGTTTCGGACGGCCACCGAATAAAAATCGGACACTGGTATCGTGATCTGGCAGAGGGATGTTGACTCCCACTTCTCGTGGAGCACACTGTAAACCTCAACAGGCCTGGCGTAGTCCGAAAACCCATTACATGTTTTGCCTCCGAGGATATAGAGACTATCCTTGATAGCCTCCATCCCGTGCGACATCCGTCCTCGGCCCGGAACGGGTTCACAAACAACCCATGTATTTTCCCGGGTAGAGTACCGATACATACCGCGCTCTCCCGAAAGGAAAATGTCGTACAGCCCATGTGTACAGGACGCAAACTGGCGACCCGGGTACTCGGGCAAGTTACACAGCTGTTTCCATCGCCTCGTCATGAAGGAGAAACACCATATTTTCATATGTTTCCCAAGGTCTCTAGGATTTACTTCACCATACTCACTAATGTATGGCACATTCATAGCTTCTGTTGGGGGCAGGCCAATCCCCACCCCACGGGGACTTGTCGAACCCGTTATGACGATGATCCCCTTTTCCGTTGCACCACCTGGTCTGAGCTCGGTCCGTGGGGAGGAATATCTCATCTGGCCTCCGAAATCCCCGTGAAACATCTCGGCCTCACGGATATAGTCGTTCAGCGGTTCTACAAACAGATCTGGGAACGTGGCCTTAAGCTTTTTGTATCTGGCTCCATCAATTAAAGGCAGGCGTATACTGTCCACTAGCTTCCTGGCGTGACATCTCCTGGCGGCGAAGTCGTGGAGAATCCATTTCATCACTGCGTCAAATACAATATTTTCATCTGAAACGTTGAGGTTTTCACTAAAGACCAGAATAGAAAGTTTCGACAGTGTAAGATGGACAAACTTGGAGGTTTCGAGGAGAGTTTGGAAACACAATATGGCGAACCTTTCGCATTTCTTTTTGAGGATGTGGTAATCTGGGTATAGGTCTGTCAGTTGCCAATAGTCCAACACGTTCTCCGACCCTAGAAACTGCGCGTGTCTCTGTTCCAACAATCTCTGTAGACAAGCGATCCGGAGGTACGCTGCGGTGAACAGGAGATCACGCGCAGTGTCTTTGGTGACCTTGACCTCGCCTGTGTACAAGAAGTGGAGGACCGTTTCCATGGTATCAGCCTCGACCATGTCCAGTCTGATCGTACGATTGGGATGTTCTTTCGTACTGGATTGAAGATGACTACGGAAGTAGTTGGAGAAAGTATAGAGAATCATCAGGTGACAACTAAATTCTCTATCCTCTACAATCACTGTTACGTCACACAAATCGGTATCACCCTCTAGACGTCGCAATCCTGCCATCAAGGTATTGACATAGTCAGTATCACCAGCGGAAATCACAGGTTTGGAGGTCACCGAGGTCAAAGTCGAGCCTCCTTTGACCTCAACATGTCGACTTTTCTCTCCATTTTGATGTTTCTTTCCTCTGGATTTTAATTTCCGGTTAAATCTTCTTGCTCTCTTACCGGAGTTTACGGAACATTCAACAGGCGCTGAACCAGATGACATTTTTAGATCAAAATGCAGTCTGTGTTTTGTTAATGAACTTGTCAAACTAATTTATCTCCTGAAAGTCCTCTTTTTTCAATATTCTCGCGGCTTCCGTTCAACCTGTATGATATAATTTTTAGTTTTAATCATTACATTATACTAGTTGTTTTATACATAGTTACATGTACATAACCCTACTGTATTTCATATTTCAGGATTCATTATTCAGTCAGTCTGTGTCATGAATACTATAGTGTAATATTTACATTTGCACTGCATAGGGCCTAGATAACTCTACTGGTCCCATTGTAACATATTTTCCAATGAACTACAACGGGGATTAGGTCAGTGTGGTGATACACTGACCTAATTACCGCCAAGTGGCGATGTTCCGCTGTGTTGTGTCTTAAATTGTTATTGTATGACAGTTAAATCGCTAAATGGCCACAACATATATTAAAATGGTGACATGTTAATATACAAATTGGTAATTGACATATATGCATTTAAATAAAAAAAAATCTATTATTAAATTGATGTGTTTACTGTGGAACTTTCTTGTTTATTGTTTTTGTCGGCCTGGTTGCCCTTGACAACGACTGTGGAATGCGAAACTACCCGGCTGTTCCGAACAATTTACCGCTTGTATAAGAGTTTTAAAACAGCAATTAACAATACTGGCAACATTGCACAACTAATATTGTTGGTTTGGAATATAAATATAAGGATTGCTATACCTATTCTAACTGTTACTTTGCCGTTGTTAACGTATGACGGGAGAATGCTATGGTAAGTTGTAATAGTCCCGCATTCTGATAGCTTTAATGAATTATTTCTGGAAAGAAACCTATGATTTGCGGAATCTTTATAAAAATCATAAAGATGAAATAAACATAAAATGAAACCTTCAACAGTTTTCTGAGAGGAGCATACAGTAGGGACAGATCGGGTTTCGAACTCTGGCCCCTGATCGCTCTAGCCACCTATAGCTTCTTGATCAGAGGTAAGTGGGGTTGGGAGATGGGAGGCTGGTTGGGGTCGAAGTTTAGGGTTGGGGTTGAGAGATGGGGCAGGGTGGATAGGAAATTACCAACCCGAGTTTCCTCTGGCCCTAACACCAAACTTAGACATTGTGACACATAGATGTTAAAATGTATAAGTCTGGTGTTAGGGTCAGAGGAAACTCGGGCTAGGAAATTACGAACCCAAACGCGACAAGCGATCAAAACAAATAAATGGCACTCCAAACACATTAATAATCCGGAACCGTCGTCACTTTCCGTAAACGAGTACTACCCACTCGTATAAAACATCTGAAAGTTAAGGAAAATCTCAAGCAATGTATTGTCTATGGGAAATCTTAGACTTGAGGAAATCTCAAGAGTTGAGATGCTTTATACAAGTGGGCTGATGGCTCACCACTGATACATGTAAAATTGGTATTTTCTGTCGACAGTCGTTGCCTCTACAAGTGTTTTATCTAAGAAATTACATATTTGGTTGTCAAAAACGTGCATACTTGCGAAACCCGAGTCATGTTAAAAGGACAGACGATCGATACCATGTTATTTCATTGAGATTTCTGTCTTTTGAGTTCTGTCTGATCGGGATAATAATTGCATGCACAGTTAGGATACGTTTTATGTATCGTTTACCATAATTGTGAGTTCGCAAAGAGTGGAACTTACTGTATATTTGAATTTTTACAATCAATGGTAATGAAACAGATTTTCTTAAGCCCGACTGTCAGCAATACCATCTTAATTAAAATGAATACTTGTCAAATTACGGTTGTCCAAAGCCCACTCAGGTTCGTGCCCATAAGACCTACTGGACAAAGCACACAGTATCCATTTTTCGAAGTTTCAAAAGAGAAAAAGGTGAAAGGTTAAGACATCTAGGCATGCAGAAATATATAGTTGGTTTCCACAAGATTACGTTGGTGGATGAAAAAAGTAATCACTTACCTTACAATGCACCATGCAGGTCAGACAGGATGCAAAAGATGTTGATTTCGTTGCCACGCATGACGTCATAATAAGAGGGATGGGACACAAACGCAAGGGGAGATAATCTCGTTAATATTTGTTATGTCGTAGTTTCTATGACGTCAGAAATGTAGCTGAAGTGTCGGTATCAATCCCGGTACAATGTATATGATATATCTGGTGGTCATCATTGTTCAAGTGTACATGCCTGTACAAATATTTGTCGTTGTTATATAATGATCCGGAGAAAAAAATCATTTTAAATTTTGTGACTAAAAAAATGATGATCTGTCAATCGTAAATTGACTGAGTGTTTAAATATCCTCACCTAAATCATTAGGAAAGTGATGAAATAATAAGATCATAATTATCACAAAGTGTTTTCCAAAAAAAAATCGTCGTTTGTGTTCAATTTTTTTTCATGAACGTAACGTTAGAAGGACAACGCAAATATTTCTAATCAAATGTATCACTTCGTTCCCCCTTTTTCGTCGCATGTTTTAAAAGGTAGATGATTTTTTTTAAATACGTAAGAGTAATTTCCCTTGGACTATTGCAAAATAAGTTGACGGTACATTATTTTGTTTGTGCATAATAACGTGTAAGCGGCACATACCAAGTCTATCAGGTTCTCGACAGTGTGCTCCTATTGACCACAAATGAAGTTTTCAATAAAGCTTAGATTTTTGCGGTCATAAAACGGAGAGCATATCTGGTAGGACGGGGGAAAAACTTGTGATGTGTTAAGACTGCATGTGTTTGACTTGTCTTAACGCGTTGATCAGTAAATATCGCATGTCATATACCAGGTTTTGTTTGTTAAAATATTCAAATTACGTTATTTTCTGATTTTTTTGAGAGCGTGCAGTTTAGAGACTGATTTAATTCGTCATGTAAAGTTCAAGTTCAGACTGAATGCTGGATTGTTTTTGGGTTTGCTTTAGAATAGCAAACAAAACCAAATTTGTGTTTTTGGTTTGGTACGTTTCCACACGTAGCAGTCTTACAAATTACGAGTTACCTCCCGTTGAACTATCTGACAAATGTTCTCCTACCCGGTCATAAGCTTGTTGCAATTCAGTTTCTTCCATCATTATCTTTATGTTTTAAAAACCGTTATCGGTACATAGCTATTTCAGATTTATCACCATATACAAAAAGACCCTGCCGTTTAACTTTTTTTTTAAAAAGTATAGAAATCGGCGGCGACGGCGACGTTGATGATGATGATGATGATGATGATGATGATGATGATGTGAATTATGATCATCATCATCATCATCATGATCAACGTCGCCGCTTTGATGTTGATGTTAATTATGATTAGTATCCCAATATGCAGATGATACCTCACTTATCTTAGATGGATCAGAAAAAATCTCTGACAAAAGCAATTGATGAACTTAATGAGTATGCCAAAATTTCGGGGTTAAAAATTAACGTAGAAAAAACACAAGTAGTTTGGATTGGTAATAAAAAGTTTAGTGAAGAAACCTTTTTACCGATTCTACAGTTACAGTGAGGTAGAAGCAAATTTGGGATTTGAGTTTAGTGTAAATCTTCATGAAATTCCATCCAAAGATGGATTTTGACAAAAAACTAATTAAACTAAACTCATTACAAAAAACCTGCAGTAGAAGGTCTTTAACACCTATTGGTAGAATTCATATAATCAAATCACTGCTGGTATCACAGTTTAATCACCTTTTTATTTCACTTCCAAATCCAAATGAAAACTTTCTGAAAAAGTTGAATTCTATCCTGTTCCAATATTTATGGAATGGTGGGTCAGATAAAATCAAGAGAGATGTTATCATTCAAGACTATGGGAATGGAGGACTAAAGATGATTAATATAGATGATTTCATTTGTTCTTTTAAAATTAAGTTGGATAAGATTATTCCAAACTACTGAGAAATGGCAGGCTATCTTGAAAACTCATACTGATACTGATTTGCTGGCAAATTGTGGTAGTGAATATATACAATTATGCAAGAACAAATGTAAAAACCAATTTTGGAGAGATGTTTTTAGATCATGATATAAATACAGTTTGCGAAAGGACAACTTAGGAAAGGATGAGTTACTCTTAAAAATACCACTTTGGTATAACAAAATCATATGTATTGGGGGGAAAACATGTTTTTTGTACAGGGATTGGTATAAGAAAGGCGTGGTTAACATTTAAGATGTTTTAAAAGATGCTTCAGGTTCTGTTTATACCCTTAACGAGTTTTCACTTAACTATCAGATTGTGACAAATGTTCTGCAGTACCACAGCTTCACATCTTCAATAAAGGGGTTTATCTCAGCTTATGATCTAACAAAATCCAACATAGTTGCCCCCTTTATACCAGTAAATATACAACCTTTTTTCAAGTATGCCAGAGGTTCGAAAATGTTTTATAATTATTTGATTAGGAATAATGCAATACCAACTGGTAACATGAAATGGAACCAAATCTTTGATGATATTATTGATACAGAGTGGGCAAAAATTTCAAAATTCCTTTCCAAGCTACAAAAAATACAAAGCTTCAGTGGTTTCAGTTCCGAGTGGTTCATCACATCCTGACAACACATTCTTTCCTTTGTAAAATTGGCCTGGTTACCTCCCATCTTTGTATTTTATGTAATCCTGAAAGAGAAACTATTATCAAGCAGTACATATACAGAATGAGATGTTTACACAATTCTTTACATATAAATTCATTAATTAACATAATTAAAGACAAGTATAGAGTTCAAAAATATATTTCAACTGGTAAGGGCGACTCTGCGAAGGAAAAATTTGGTACAGAATGGTGTAAATGGAAAAAGTTAATTGATTTATATTATAGAGTACTCTTGCTGTTTTTTACTTGTAAATTATTATTATTAGTACCAGTGTTATTGTTATTTATATATCAAGTAGGCTTCTCCCAGCCCTTGGCAAAGCTGAAAATATTATGTCTTGTCTACCTCTCAACCTTTTCTTCTAATTTGTTTCTAAAATAAAATCTCTTTTTCTTTTCTTTTCTTTAGAAGTCTTTAATTCTTCCTACATTCTCTTGTCTGTCCAGCCAATAAAGTGCAATATACATTCATGTAAATCTGACCTTATTTATCATTGCAGGTATACAATAGACATGTAAATCTGACCTTATTTATCATTGCAGGTATACAATAGACATGTAAATCTGACCTTATTTATCATTGCAGGTATACAATAGACATGTAAATCTGACCTTATTTATCATTGCAGGTATACAATAGACATGTAAATCTGACCTTATTTATCATTGCAGGTATACAATAGACATGTAAATCTGACCTTATTTATCATTGCAGGTATACAATAGACATGTAAATCTGACCTTATTTATCATTGCAGGTATACAATAGACATGTAAATCTGACCTTATTTATCATTGCAGGTATACAATAGACATGTAAATCTGACCTTATTTATCATTGCAGGTATACAATAGACATGTAAATCTGACCTTATTTATCATTGCAGGTATACAATAGACATGTAAATCTGACCTTATTTATCATTGCAGGTATACAATAGACATGTAAATCTGACCTTATTTATCATTGCAGGTATACAATAGACATGTAAATCTGACCTTATTTATCATTGCAGGTATACAATAGACATGTAAATCTGACCTTATTTATCATTGCAGGTATACAATAGACATGTAAATCTGACCTTATTTATCATTGCAGGTATACAATAGACATGTAAATCTGACCTTATTTATCATTGCAGGTATACAATAGACATGTAAATCTGACCTTATTTATCATTGCAGGTATACAATAGACATGTAAATCTGACCTTATTTATCATTACAGGTATACAATAGACATGTAAATCTGACCTTACTTATCACTACAGGTATACAATAGACATGTAAATCTGACCTTACTTATCATTACAGGTATACAATAGACAATTTATTGTTTATTTGTTACTGCTCCCTCCACTTTATGTGTATGATGTCAGGATGTGAGCGTCATGTGACATGTGAAAGGTGATCAAAATATAATGTGTAGGAATGATGAGATATAGAGTATGGATGACATGCGGTAATGAATGATGCTGATGAGGATGTGATGAAAGCATGCCTTGTATAATAACAGTGAGGATGAAGATCACATGTACATGATGCGAGTATTTTTGGTAGTGACCAGTGTTGTATTTTATCTCTGTATGATTATGACGATACAGTGACATTATGAGGAATCGAAAATGAAAGGAATTATATTGAATGATATTTCTTTCATGATGATGATGATGTTGATGTTGATGCATTGTGTGTTATATGATGAGATGTTATTTTATATATATATAAAAAAAAGTGATGATGATGATGAGAATGATGATGGGATGGTGCATATCTGTGAGATGTGTTGGTAATGAGGCTATTGTTTATGATGGATGATGCTTGATGAATGATGATTATGATATCTGCTAATTTGATGAAGATGTATATTGCACATAAAAATGAAAAAAAATGAAAATGATGTCAATTATGTACCGTTGAAGGTTTTTCTAAATTAAAAGATAAATGTTTAGAAAATATCCTAATAATAATTATGCGTCATTACGATTTTTACTTTCACGTATTTATGTGTTTATTTCACGTTATTACGTGTTTCTTTACATAATTACGCGTTTATTTACGCTATAACGTGGGTTTTTACGCGTAAGAACGCGTTTTTTCCCGTTTTTAAGACTCTCCAGTATTATGTTTTTCTTACAAACCTATTACATGTAGAACAAAAATCTTTCTGTTTAAGACAGAGATTCAATCTACACACTTTCCTAGATATTACAGGAGACATGAGGGATACCACATGGGTTGCAGGAAACGCTCACCCTCCTATTTTCAGCTTCGGTTGTTTCTGATATTTTCATTCAGTTGAGACTTTGTTCTTGTAAGCATCCTCGAAATTCTATGGGTTATAGTTATACGCATAGAACGTAAGTGAGCGCTACTCCTGGAATTACGCGGATGTCTTGTACAACTTATTGCTTCCTCGATATCCAGGGGTTACGCTCACTC